ACCAACAAGTCTGTTACAGAAATGTTACAAATAGATTTTCAGATCTACCCTCAACATGACAGATGAGATCTCAGAATGCAATCCTATGAAGAATATACCGGTATGTAAATTATATGCAGTCAAGCATGATACAGATGTATGAATAAATCCTGCCCTCTCCTTTTTATGCAACATCTAATGTTTTTGCTTGGGTATGTACAAGATCCTGTCTAGGTCTGGTCAGCAGCACTTCAATTAAAAATAAATACATTTTAAAAATAAATAGTAAACCCAGGAGTCAGTAAACCGCCCATGTGAAAATAAACATTTTATCTAGTTCATCATGCAGAAGAAGATAGGTGCCCTTCGAGTTCACCTATTTTCTAAATGATTAACTGGATAAAAGGACTATATTCCCCTGATAAGTAATCTGGCTGTGGGCGATCACACAAAGCTTTAAGGAGATTTAAAGAGGTTTTTTTTTCCAGAAATTTACACTTTTATAAATTAGCCTGGTTTCATCCAACCCTGGCTTTTACACCAACAACAGGTTCTGTTACTTCCTGGTTTGGTTGGCTCAGAGAGCTAAACTCAAGAGGTAGCATTTGCTTACAGCACCCTCCTTGCAAAGACTTCTCATTGAGCTGCATTGGGAAGTCTGATTGGACAGCCACAGGAGGTCTGGGCGACGCTAGAAGGGGGGAGATTCCAAAGGCTGCAGACAAGAGAACTGCAGGTTTTGCAAGCGGATTATAGATATATTCGCAATGAAAAAAAAATACATGAAGGATTTTATTTGGGTTACTCTAGAAGCTAGAATAGGGGACCGGGACTTGTGAACAAACGGTCTGGAACTCTGAGGCAGATCGGAGAATATCCGCAACCGTAGAACAATTTTATGAAAAATAAAATCTTTACAAGCTCATAACTCGTGCACAGATTCTCCGATCACGTCACTTTTTGGGCAGTATGCGCACACAGTCATCAGCTTTAAAATGTGTAGCATGTGGGGATAAGATGTGTCAACGTGAAGCTGTTGCATAAAATATGTATGTCAATGTTGCAAACCTATATTGTGCATTCCGTCTGGAAGTTAAATTATTCCGCCATAACCTAATCTACCGAACACCAAGGAATGCCTTGTATTGTGTTTGCTGAAGACCCCGTTTTAAGTGGAAAAATATGTGTTTTACTGAAATGAAAAAGTTTCACTTACTTTACCAAACAGGATCAGTTTGTCCGTTATGTTGCAGATTTTACAAGTTTCCAGAGGGCTATAATCACTACTTCCTAAACTGAAATCCAGAGACTAGTGGAGGAGAGAAGCAGTGACCAAGGGATACTAAGCGACCTTGCTACCCGTGACACAGCTACTGCCCAGTCTAACTAGATGTCAAAAACATGGCCAATGGTCTGTTTTAGACAAACAACAAGGTCAAGCATGGCCACACGAAAAATAAAAATATAAAATTCTTCTTGCCATAGCTTTGCTATAAAATTTGTTGAATGTATATTCTTGATGTCTCGTGCTAGCAGTTGGCTCATTTACAAGCTTTATTGCAAGTAAAATGTGAACAACAAGTAAAAAGAATTTGATTGTCAAAAGGTTAAAAAAAATTTTTAAAAACAAATTCTAAAACAAATTGTCACACTTAGAAAACAGCAGGAATGTTTGAAGCAGCAATTGTTCAATAAGCAGGCAACTGCATGCTGGTCTCAAGTATTTAAGGACCCCACTGAGATGAAAAGTGTAACACATGGTCCTGAAAGAGTTAAAGGGAATATTTAATATTATGCTTGTTTATCATTGCTATATAGATTGAGATATATATATATATATATATATATATATATATATATATATCTCAAACGCTTTTCTGCAATCTGAAGAATGGAATTACACGTAGAGGTCCACACTGCTGTATTTACACCTATCTTGGAAGTATACGTTTTAAGTGGGATAAAGGACAGTTTGGGGATTTCTAATTTCATTTTATCAATTATTTTAGAGACGATGATAAGTGGATTGGTATGAGGTTATATTAGGTAGTGGTGGGATGGAGTATGCTTTAATAAAACACCTTTTTTTTTTTAAAGAAGTAATATAAAGACAAGCTCTGTATTATAAAATGATAATGTACTAAAATAATCAAAAACTAACTTTGAGCTTTGGATGAGGGTAACCAAAAACAGTCTGCGAATCAAGCTAATAGACTTATATTCGGAGTGAGGTACTAATATACACAGTACAAGACATACAGGGTACTTTAAAAGGGAAGAGGTCGACTAAGAACAGAAGGTCAAGATTAAAAAAAAAAAATAAAGTATGAAGTCAGTCTAGAATTTCAGAGCAAACAAAAAATAAATAAACTAGAGAGGTTATGTGTACAAAATTCAATCGACCTAAGACTAGTAGATAATTGTGGTTTTGGGAGGGGGGTTGAGGGTTTATGTTGCCAACGGAGCAGAGACCGGAGTTCTTATAGCTTCCTTAATACACCTACTGCATGTTGGTAACCATAACTAGGTGCAACAATTGAGAGTTTAAATAAATCAGGACAAAGTGGTAATAATACAGGGTAACATGGAAGCTTCAGGGCTAGTAAGCAAGGCAACAGGGACACGGACTTGCCAAAAGGACAAGAAAGAATGTCAGTGGGAAAAAAAAATATGCATTATAAAAAAATATATATATTTCAAAAAGGCATGGCTACGTTCAGAGTATATCATAACTCATAGTGCAAACTTATTCAATAAAGAGGAATTTATGAGGGGAAAAAAAAAAGTTACCAAAAACAATTAAATAAAAAGTAACTGCAAATGGAAGAGATTGTGAATGATTAATTTTTATGTTGCAGGTTAGCATTCCAAAATGCAGAGGTGAAACCAATAGAGTAGGTGAGTAATATGGGTGTGAGAATAAATGTTTGTTATGTGGAGGGGGGAATCTATTTTGCCGGAACAATGGTTGGTGAGAGAGAAGAGCATGCATTTTGAAAGACACAAAGCAGTTGGTGGGAGGATGAGAGTGCGCATGAAAAAGATATGCAAAAAAAAAAATGTAATTGTATTTATTTAAAGTGTGCGCGCAAGGGCTAGTAGGAAGGCATGTTGGCAACTAACTTGAAAGCTAGATGAAAATACTAATAGACTGTAGAAAACGGTTAAAGAACATTTTCTGAAGGCAGTGTTCTTACTAGAGCTACTCCTGGCTCAACCATCTTGGATTTTTATAATTAAATTATCCATTAGTAAATAGCAGGACAATATCTATTTAAAATGTAGCCCCCTACCTTAAACTACACATTTTAGGAGTGTGATATCCAATTCAATATATATAGCAAAACCATTCCCTTTATAATACATATTCATTTCATAATGCAGTTTGCAGAGCTCAAATCAGGAACCCACATGTCTGTAGAGAACATGACATGTATCCAATACTTTATTAAATAAAAAGTGACAAGGAGCTGTTTTTAAAGGTGGATAGAACCAGTGGACAGTTTGAAAATGCTAAATAATATAAACAAAAAAAAATGGTTTAAGGGACAAAAAATAAATACACAATAAGGTGCACATAACACAGCTGTTCACAACATATCACTTTTAATGCTCATGGAAAAATTAGCAATGTAAAGCATTTCTCAAAAGTATTGGCAATCATGCTTTTTTTTTTTTTTTAAATCTATTTACAAAGTGACAAAATAATGTAAATATGTATGTTTATCTACAGTTTTATATAAAAAGACAAAGAAAATTAGCATGTCTGCACACATTCCCCTTCCCCAAACATTACTGGATGAGAGCCTTACACTTTGTACACGTCTGTCTGGTAAAATATTTGTTTATTCAAAGGGCATACTTGTATAATTCGAAAGGAGCCTTCGGAGGGTTTAATACCAAAATGGGTATTGTAGTGTTTTCTTTTAGGAACTGATTTTATGCTAGCCTCACTTATACTGTTATTACCATCTTGCAGTATATCCCAACCCAATAAGTCACTGAGATACTACAGGACTATAAAAAGGACGAACTTAGTGAGAGATACATTTTTTTAAAATCTACAGTAAACAGATCCAATACATATATTGTGATGATTTACCAAGGGACAGAAGCACCTTTGTTTACAGACTGTATGCCATCTCCCTAGGTTTAAAGACCTCAGAAAATTGGAAGGGCACTGGAGAAAACAAAAGGTTGGTCCCAAGAGGTAGTCACTGAAACACTTTAGATTAAACCCGGTGGTTCTCCAAAAATATTCACACATTTTCCCTGCATATTCAGACAAAAAAAAAAAAGAATTCACCATAAAACACCTCCATAGAACGGTCACACTTCAACCAATGTTCACTTGGGAGTAAGGGTTTTGTTTCAGAAGAGTAAAACCCTTCAAAAGCACTGAAACCTGAACTTCTAGAGATTATTCACCCAATGGAGTTCATTACTAAATAACTGAACCTGGGGAGAGTTATCATTAAAATTAGTTTTTCAGGGTCATACCTAGATCATACAGCATACCCCCGTATACCAACCAAATCTTTAGATCTGAATATCTTGCACACTGCAGTTTATGAGATATCCTGCTTGTTATTAAAAAAAATTCAGAGCTACATTATTTTTATTTTTTTTAAATATTTTAGGCACTCTGTGTTAAATTTCCAGTTACATCTCACTACTCTAAACAGAGCACACAAAATTCTTAGTCTTTTAGTATTGTATTCAGAAGGCTTACACTTTAAAATTAACGCAAAAAAAAATTATATAGTACAAAAATAATAAAAGTACATTTTTTGTTTATTTTAACCCCACACCTACTACATGTAGAACCCCTGAATATCATATCATAACATGACACGTTTCCACTGCAACATTGGGTAAGATGTTTTAGGGGGTTTATGGGTAAAAAGTGAGAAAACCGAAATAAATTTTACCAAAAAAGGTGGGGAGTGGGGGAGGGGGGGGGGGAGAGAATTTGGGAGGGCACACATTTATAATCAACATTAAGTAAATGATGAAACTTGCTAAAATAGAGTGTTCCAATCTTTTGTTGCCTCCATAAGGTGTCTTTGTCCATGACCAACCCATGCATCTTGATTGTCAAATATCCTACCACAAAACCAACAGTTAAATTTTGCCTTGAGTTTGCTCCCAGGAGTGTTCTTCACAATTTTGTAGTTGTTTTTACTGGTTTTCTTTAGGGTTAACTTGAGAACAAACCTTTCTTTTACAGGACTAACTGGCTTTGCCCTTCTATGACGTCTTCCAGATAACCCATCAGAAACCATTTCACCACTACGGAGCTTAGACTCAAGGAGAGCTTCAAGTGCGCTCTTGGATAAGGTCACCTTTACAATATGACCACTGAATCTTGAAATAGTGTTCATCACATTAATTACTTCAGGAATATCTACATCAGGGTGGTTCAAAACTACAACAGGTTGATTCTTTCGAGGACACTGCACAAGTTGGTTAGAATCGAAAGGATACAGTCTTAAAGTACTAACAACTTCCTTGGTTTGTTTTGGTCCAGCAAGGTCGGTGGCATTTTCAGTTTCACTAAAATTGGTCTTCTCTTTACATTTTCTGTGCAACATTTTCTTTCTTGGTGGTTCCTGGACATTTTCAGTTTTCTTCTTAGCTGCTCTCTCTCTCACCTCAAAATCAACTCTACTGAGACTAGAGTCAACAGATGCTTTTCTTTTCATTGACCGGTTTCGTGTATTCCAAGTGTTTGGTATACTTTGCCTACATCTTAAATTGGGTACCTTTGCATTTGCAGAGGAAAGCATTGCATCTTTTTCTTTCTGTGTGGAATTTAGACATTCAGCTGAAGCCAAGTTTGAGGTAGACCGGAGAGAAGGCTTTCGTTCTGCAGAGCTACTGGGGTAAGAGAAAGAACTACGGTGGTCATTTGATCCTGTAAATCCATTATCCAAACTTGTGTCCTCTTTCTTTATCGAGGTCACTGGTATGGCTCCATTCTTATTCAAGAACATAGTCTGCTGCGAATCTTCTGTTTTCTTTGGTAGAATTTTCGGAATGAATCTTTCTCCTTGAGCCGATCTCTGTGAAACAGCTGGAGCTTTTGGTAAAACATAATTTAACAGGACTGCTTGTTTTCCATCAGGTAAAATGGCATATACAGGCTGCTTCTGCAGAGATTCTTGGTGATTGGCAGCAGATCCCATATTTCCAGTTGTCACAGTTGAGGAACCAGAATTAATACAATACTGGAGTAAATTCAGATTAATGGGAAGGTTTTTTGCTGTGGTAGAGCCAGAATGGATGTTACCAGATACATTTTGAGATTTACCAATGTCTCTAAAGTCTGTCTTCAAAGTCTGTGGTGCAGGAGGATGCTGTAATCTAGGAAGAGGAAATTTAGCTTGGTTGCCGACTGCTGAAACTCCTTGAGAAGCAACACTTGACATATTTCGGATGGTACCAAAAGGTCCATTGGTAAAAGTTAACACCATACCAGGTTTTGTATTTATCGTTAAGGGTGCATTGGCCCTGTTAGGGGCAGACATGCCTACAGAATTTGGAGCATTCACAATTTTGCGAACCATCCTAACGTTAGATTGGCTGGTAGGTATTACTGGTAGGAGAAAACGGTTGGAAGGTGGATACAAAACACTATTCGGATGGGAAATACTGGAAGGATGTGGATTCCGAACTAGCTGTAAACCAGATGATCCAGTAGGCACTCTTACCATGCTGCTTATTTTCTCTTTTGCAAGCTGTTGATTAACAATGGAATCAGAATGTGACTTTAGAAGTTCACTTACAGTTAATGAATAGGATTTCAAGCCTGATCCAGAAGTTTCCTGTTCTTGTTTCAACATGAATCCTGAATTGGTGACACTACCTTTTAAAACACTGTCCCCATTTGATACACGGGGGTCAAATTTTGAAGGTGGGTTAGATGGGGACTGTTTTGGAGAAGTAAATGTATTGCTACCAATAAGTGGACTTGGTGTTTTGGCTAGATATCCTTTATCATTTATCCTTTTATTTTCTTGCAGCATATTATGCAGGTAGGTATTTTTTGGAGATGTAGAGGATGATGACGCCTCAGATCGATTATTTAAAGAGAAAACAGAAGTAATTCTTGGCATGGAAGCCATATTGTTACATCTCATACTTTCCAGTGATCTTTGCTGTCTTTCTGCCAAACTGGCATTTCTCATTAAAAAGTCATTTTTAGACTGGAAGTTTGCATTTGCAGAAGCAAATCGTCCATGACTACTGGCTGTTGAAGTTGGTAATGTAGAGCTCCTTAGCTCACTATCTTTTGTGTACAAGGCTCTTGCAGTTAGTCCACTGCTTTCACTGTTATGACGATGTCTGTACAGATTGTCAGCTTTTGAATTCACATTTAAATAGCTTGACACCGAAGATGGATTCATTCGCCCACCACCAGTATCACAGCTCTTTTGATCATTGACCACATGCATGTAATTTTGCTGTTCGTTAATACTGAAATCCTCTGGTTCTTCCTTTATTTTTCTTGTAAAGTCGCTACTGTAAGACGAGTTTGGCATAGTGTGGCACCTTAAGTCTTTACGTATAGTTTCAAAAAATGCTTGACTATTTGCAGATCCGGATTTCATAGATACTGGAGACTGATTTCTTCTTGCTATGAAGTGAGTAGGTGTGGCTGGTTGGCTCATACTGTGGGCAGGTCCCAGGTTCCTTTCCGTCGATGCAGATGATGGGGAACACTGTGTAGAATACTTAAATGGCTGGGCTGACCTACTATCCATGCCGTTGGACGATAAACTATAGGAACGACTAGGGCTCTGAGATACACGAGACATACTACTTGCAGAAGGAGAGGAGGTCTTCAAAGAATGCGCTGCCTGCTTATTTGAGGGCAGCAGTTTAATAACAAGATTTTGTTTTCCATTCACCATTTTGTATCCCATAAAAGTTGCACAGTAGTTTGCAGGAACATTAATTTTGTTGTTCTTCACCATCAGTACAGTAGGTCCATGAACTGCATTTTGCAAGAGGCTGCCATCTTCTGAGTTGCACTTAATAGTAGTTACAGAAGAAATCTCATCTTTACTAGCTTGATCGTAATTATATGTTGTAAACTCTTTCACCATTTGCCCATCTTCAGTGGGTTTATATTGTAACCCACTGGTGCTCTGCTGGTCTTCGCTCGCTTTTTCAACACTCATGCCTTGGGCATCCTTTCTCCATAATGCCTTGTTTGGGGATTCCATTTGGTATTTTTTTAAAAGAAGCTTTAGCCCAGCTGCAGTCTGCGCCAACTGTGAATTACAAGTTTCTTCAACAAATTCGTCTTTTGTTTGAACATGTTCCCTATGCCTGGCTAAAACGTGTTTTACAATGAAATCTTTCCTCATCGCACTGTAGTTACAGTATTGACAACTAAATGGGAACAGCGTGGCATGGTCCTGCAGATGTCTCTGAAATTCTAGTCTCGAAAAGCTGATATGATTGCATTTTTGACAGGCATATTCAATGCCGTTGTGACGGTGAATGTGCTGAACAAAAGTGCCAACATCAACGGTTGAAAATCTGCATTTTGAGCAGCTAAAACGTCCATTAATACAATGCATGGATGAGAAATGTTTTGTTAAACCCAACAATGTATACATATAGTCATTGTTACATATTTCACATTTGACCAACGCACTCCGGTGAGTCTTTCGATGTTGTTTGAACACCTGAAAATCGTTTGCAGAGAAATTACACATTTCACATGGATACAAGGGTAGTTCCCCATTGTGCAATATTTGAAAGTGTTTCTGAAGATCGTTTGGGCTGTATCGGATTCCGTTATTACATTTCTGACAGAAGAAATGAAGTACCTTTGCAGATATATTTGCTGCATCATCATCCGCATTGCTTTCTAATTTCAGTTCAACATTCATTTCTTCTGGACTACTCGATGTATTAACATTCCCCCTACACACGGACTTACGTGCCGTCTGCTTCCTACAAGGAGACTTTTGGACTTTTTCATTCAAAGCATTTTCTCCAACAGCTTTGGCAGACCCTACATTTTCCTCTATTTCACTCGATAAGCAGTCATTCATTGAAAACGATGAAGAAGAAGTTGGCTCATTGGTATCATAGTTATCTCCAGCATATTCCCAAAAGTCAACATCTTTAGTAGGAGCAGAATCCTCAGTGTCCAAAGGAAAGTCTTTATTTGGTGATCTCATTATGCAAATGTGTATTGAATCCAAATCAGTAGAACAATGATCAGGGAATTTAGTTTTTATTTTTAAAATTCACCTATGAAAATGAAAACAAAAAAAATTTATGTTGATAACAATGAAAAAAAACAAAAAAATGTAAAACTGTGAACCTCTAAATAATGAAGACAAAAACAACATTGAAAAAACAAAACAAAAAAACACACAATTACACATTTGGGACTTCTAGTATTCTCTCACTTTGAAGTGCATTTCGGTATCAAATGCTAGTGGTTGTTACACTATAGTTCAGAAAGTTAAACTTACCCAACTCTTAAAGACATGGTTACTGTTTGTTTACATCTCTTCCATTGTCTTCTGAAAATGACCCAAAGAACCTAAGTAAAACAAAATACAGTGTAAAACAAAACATATTAAACAACACTATTACTTAAAGTTAGTAAAGTGAACTGTGAAAAGTGCAATCACATAGAGCATGCTCTTTGAATAGAGTCAAACTACTTCGAGCATAGCTGGTTCAGAACTGTTTCATACTCCAATTTAAAAATTATGATAAACAGGTTAGAAACAAGGTATAAGTTGGATCCAAAAAAAAAGGAGCAACCAGAATACATTAAATAGACCACATTTTGTTCCACATAACATAGCTTTTATGCAGACCTAATCGCAGCTAAATCCAAATGCCACTACTCCATACTAATTCTTCTTGACCTCTCTGCTGCCTTTGACACAGTTGATCATGCTCTCCTTCTTCAAACTCTTCAATCACTGTCTCTGTGACTGTCCTCTCTTGGTTTTCCTCTTTTCTCTCCCAATGCTCATTCAGTGTCTCCTTTTCTAATGATACCTCCTCCTGTCTCGGTTGTAGTCCCCAAAGGCTCTGTCCTTGGTCCCCTTCTATTTTCTCTTGTACGAGGAGGACAACCAGAGATAGAGAGTATAATAATATATATATATATATCTCCTCCCCGGACCTCTCCCCTGCAACGTGTCACCGCTTGCCTTTCTTCCATCTGTAACTGGATGTCCTCCCGCTTTCTGAAACAATCTCTCTAAAAACTGAGCTCCTTGTCTTTCTTCCTCCTAATACTGATCCTCTTTCGCCTCCCTTCAAGTTAGTGGTATCCACATAAGTCCATCCTTGCAAGCGCGCTGTCTTGGTGTCATACTTGATCCTGGCCTCACATGTTGCCAAATCCTATAGATTCCATCTTAAAAACATAGCCCGCATCTGCCCCTTTCTTACGCAAGATGCTACCATGCTCTAATAATTTCCTGCATGGATTATTGTAACCCTCTCCTAACTGGTCTTCCCAAAAGCCTTATTGCCCTGCTACAGTCTGTAATGAATGCTGCCTCCAGTCTTCTTTTCCTCTCTAGTTGGCCCTCTCACACATCGCTCTTCATGTATCCTATAGGAGTCAATTCAAAGTGCTAACCCGTACCTATAAATCACTAAACAATTATAGCCCCTTATATCTCTTCATAGATCCATAGGTATGCCCCTTCTCGGTCTCTCCGCTCTGCCCGTGACTTTCTCCTGTCCGCCGTTTACACCCGTACGGGCAACTCACGCTTGCAGCACTTCTCGCGTTCGCCTCCCTTCCTATGTAATAGCCTGCCTACCGCCATCAGACTCTGCCCCTAGTTTTCAATCATTTAACAAGTGCCTTAAAACCCATCTCTTTAGGAAAGCTTATGGCCTCCCAGAGTAACCTCTACCTCACATACCTGTCTCTTGCTCTCTCCTAAAGGGCAGCACTCTACTCTCTCCTCCAGCTCTGCTTCACTCCCACCTTATTTGATTGCTATTCCTGTCCTATTGTGTTTTGCAGCCCACCTCCTATAGACTAAGCTTGTTTGAGCAGGGTCCTCTTCAACCCATCATTCCTTTAAGTTCTTGTAATTGTCCTATTTATAGTTAAATCCCCCCTCTCCTAATATTGTAAAGCGCACGGAATATGTTGGTGCTATAAAAAAAAAAAATGGCAATAATAATAATAATAATAATAATAATCTCTGAAATATGCCACAACTAGGGTTTATTCAAACACCAAATTGTAGTGAACTGAAAAAAAAAAAAATAATAATAGATAACTAAGCTCAAATTATCTTTGTCAATAGCAAAGATAAAACTTACATCTAAACCATATCTTATGGCCTAAATTTTGCAATTCACTACAGTTCCTGGCAAGACTAAGCACAGCACTTGTTGCTTTACTGCTGATCTTAGTGGATAAAATTCTACGATTACATTTTAATACAATACAGATTACCAAGAATACTTTCAACTCCACAATAGCTTCCACTTCTATCTATCTAATTGGCCAACACAACTATTAGTTCTCAATTTAAACAATGTATACAGTTGTAGTGTTACTGTATTAAATGCAAAGAAAGATATTTCCAAGACACACAGCTCTGTGGCAAAGACATTTTTGCCATAATGATTTGTAATCAGGTAGAATAAACTTGACACAACATAATAGTGACTTAAGTGAAAGGAATAAAGATGTCAGAAACTAAACTGACAATTACATCATGTGTCCTCTCCTAGTATGTCCGTCCCCCATCCCCCCACCCCGACAACATTTAATTTCTGATGATGAATACGAATTTAGAGACAAATATTTAAGGTTAGGACCTAGCATACCCACTATATGCTTATACTAGAACTGCTCCTTCTTAGTGAAAAGCCATTCACATGTGTTTCAGTCTCCTTTACATCTCACAGAATACTTTGACACTATATGGTTGCACCTTGACTCAATGACAAACTGATCTGACAGGCTAGATTCTATTTGAGAATTCCATGCTAGATCCAAAGCTTGAGAATTCTGTGTGTTGCTTGTGGTGCAAAGGTCAATGTGGAACCATTTTAACACCTGTGGAGGGATCCTACATATACTCCAAAGAATGTGTGTTATATATAAAAAAAAAAAAAAAAGTTTAAATTTCCCCCCCATTTCACGATCAGAGTGTCAGCTAATGCTATGAAATCAGAATAAAGTATCTGTAGTTCACAGAAAGTACACAATTTTAGAGACAACATGAAAAAAATCTACTTGAATGTAAACCTTGCCAATAAATTCAGCAACTCAATTTCTCATCCAACTACACCTCCACCCAGTTCTTTCAAAATTTAAAACTCCGCTTGTCCTTAGATAAAATGTATAAAATTATCCTTAACGTGTAATCTTGGTGATTGTTAAAGGGCTCTGACAAATATAAAATTTAATTTTCTTGACTGCGTCATTAATCTAGATAAAAGGCCTTTAAATAAGCTGCATAATAATTTTTAATACATTTGAGAATATACAGATGTTTTTTCCTAGGTACAGTTTACATCACACATGTTACTATACTACCTTTAGGAATACCAAACCTGGTATGCAGTCAGCAGGAAATATAATGTATATTGACCAAAGTCATGACACCTCAACCAGCGTAACCAGTCTACCTAACCTGCAGAAGCAGTACATTTTATGACATCAATACACAGCTACAGAAAGAAAAAAAAGTTTGATATACATGCCATTGACGGCCTTCCAAGGATATTGCATGATCGGGAAACTACCACCTAATTATATTTTCTCCAAGTAAAATGAATCAGTACAACAAAGTTGAGAACTTTTGGGGGATTTCGAGAACTTCCATTTGATCATTCAAAGAACGACATGTCAATATTACTCATGCGCAATGCTAACCATTCACACAAACCCTGTATCTTCCAATCTGAGACAGCATAAACTTGATAAGCACTTTACTAAAATGATTTTGCTTACACCTTACTTTTGACACGAGCAGGACACGAAAAAAAAAAAAGTTAGACCATTATCATGTAAGTTGTACGTTTTCCTTAAAATAGGTCAATATTGTCAACAAGTAAAGTAGTATGCAGGTCAACAAATTCAAATCCTCAATATTGACAAACGCCCCCCCAAAAAAAAAAAAACCCACAACAAAAACATCAACAACTTAGTCTATTTGATCATATGGAAATCAATAAAAATTCCAAACAGCAGGTACAAAAGTATCACCAATTACAACTAGAAATGTCTTCTGTTCAACTAATGCTCTTTACAGAACAAAAAAAAAAAACCAACATATATAAGACTATCTAAACTGTATGTACAAAATATAAAAACTATTCAACAAACCCTAAAACTACAAAGCAATAAAATATTAGTTGTTGCTTTTCCTAGGTTTGATCCCATTTTGGCAAAACAGAAACTACATTTCAAAGAAGAATTGTAAAATGGGGGAAGAAAAACGAGTTTGGAATACATGCAATTAAGATGGTAGAGACAAGAGAAAGAGAGACCAGAAAAATTCAGATGATTTCTAAAGTTTGAAATTAAAAACCAAATGCAGCAAGCATTCTTTTTTAGCTAGCAATAAAAAAAAATTAAAAAAAAATTGTGAGAAAAAAAAAGTAAATTAAAAAAAAAAAAAAAAGTTACATGTTGCATTTAGCAAAAAAAAAAAAATGCAAAGGGAATGAGAAATATCTGCATGATGTGGGAAATAAAGAAAGAGAGGGGGGCTGCAAAGGAAGAGCACATGCAATGCATACAGCATTAGGGTAATGGCTTACAAGGGGTGCAGGAGTTAATGCATGGGGGCAGGGATATCACTAGCCCAGGGTATGCATGTGGTAGCCCAAGGTGGGGTCCTTGCTTGGCACAGGCTGGGCAAGCTGCATGGCACTGGGGTGGCTGATAGTCATGGCTCCCCCCCATGTGACTCCCTTCTCCAAATAAAGGAGAGCGGCCATTAGAGGGAGGGAGGGGGCTTACCCTGCTGCTGCAGACGGTGCCCGGGCTCCTTCCTCCTCCCCACACTCGCCGCGAGACACCCCGAACTTGCAACAACTTTTCTCCCCCCTAAACTTTGCCCCGGCACTATTTAACCGAGCCGCAGCACCCACGCCTTGCTCCCTCCGCCGCACAGTCACTGCGGGAGAAGGTGGGGAAAAAAAAAAAAAGTCAACCGCCCCCCCCTAACTTTCACTCCGCCCGGGGGGAATCGGGGAGACTAACCCAGGACGTGGAACCCCTCCGGCACCGCCGCCGCTCCCCCCGGCTCCATCAAGTCCCACTCAGCGCAGGGAGCACGCCGTGCCGGCACGTCTTTTTACCTTGTTTTCCTCAAGTGCTGCCCGAGTCACCGTTGGCGGCCATGACAGTTACATCCGGGGATTGTCCTGGTTTCGGCAGACCTAAAATGGACTCCAAGCCGAGACGGCGGAGGGATTTGCGCTCCACCTAGTCCCTGTGATAGGGCTAACACAACTCTTTATTTTTTTTTTCCCCTTTAGAATGCTCATAGAATGCCAGTGTTCCACAGAGAGCCAGTCATTGCAAAGGGGATTATTTGTGGCTCACTCATGGCTAAGGCTGAGCTATTATTATATATATATATATATATTTTTTTTTTTTATAATAATAAAAAATGGCTGTGTTTTTTTTTCCCCCTTCAACCTTTCCTTGCAATTAAATTTAATAATAATAAAAAAAATAATAATCCATGCTCTACTGTCTGCTGTGGTACTATTTTCTTGGGTACTACATATGGGGGTGTCTTGTGAGAACTGTTACATTAAAAATAAATAAATAAGATGCTTGCTCAATCCATATTTTAACATGAAATATAGGAAAATAAAGAGCAGTGTTCATGTTAGAAATTACTGTTGGTCTTTGCTGATGTTGCAAAGGACATTTTAAAGGCTGCAGTCTTAGAAATGAATACAATTCATATCTGTTTTCAAGCTTAAGTAAAGGAAAATGAAGCATTTAGAAGAGTGTTTCTTTTTGGGAATGATTACTTACTTATTTTGCAAATGTTGCAAAGGATATTTCAAATTGCAAATGGGAAAAATAATATATATATTTATTTTACAATGAGAATATTGCAGTGTTATTTGCAATTGCTGCAGACATTATTAATTAGATTTGTGTTGATCATTCATTTGATTTCTGTGTTTTTAAAAAAATAATAATAATTCTTGTTGCCAAGTGAAGTATTCTCAACATGCAATTAATTATTAATTACTTGTTCATCTATTAAAGATGATTATTGCGTCACATACAAATAGTTGAGTGATATGTCATTGTAGAGCTTTGAAAAAACAAGTCCTTGCGATTATGTTCTGCTGTTAACTACATCACATTTTCCAATATATTCTAATTCTAATATTTTATAATTCAATGAAAAAAGAATGCACTATATGCACATACATAAATACATTAATGTTTAATGTGTATAAATCTTCTCTAATTTTTTTTTAATTGAGGTGTATATTGATTTGAATAGGAAAAATATGTAAACAGTTCATGTTCAAGACTGTTTCCATAATAAAACTTTAGATTCTAATTTTAATGAGACTGAGCATTTTGTTTATTTAAATTACAATTTTTACATGAAGCATGGGCATTCATGGACATAGTCTATTAAGTAGTATAATAATAAATGTTAAACTGCATCGTTATATAATTAAATTGAAATAGTAACTACAAATTTTTGACTTTAGAATTCCCAGACAACTGGCACTTAGGATATAGATTTAAAATTGCAAAGCGCTACCGAACATGTTGGTGATATATATGTGCCAACAATACTAAGGTAACTTATAGTAGTTGGGTGTTTGTTTATGTGTTTTCTTATTGCTTAAATAAGAATACCACAGTAAGCAAATATGTTTTTTTCTTGGGAGTCTGTTGTATAATTGTTTAAATAATAATATTAATACAAATAATTGCACTAATTGTATCAACCTCTGAAGGTTGAAAGGCTGCATTTACTATTCCAGAATGAAAACGAACTTTGATGCATGAACAGGTACTTTTATTGAAAGTACTGCATATGTAACTCAGATAGAAGTATTATTGAGAACACAAATGCAAAACTAAACACCTAACAGGGAAGTGAAAATGGAAAATTTACGCATGCCATATCCTGCAATTTCTTGCTACCTTCCTTGTTTGAGATACATCACTCAGAAGATTATGTGTCAGAATTCAGAATATCAAAATATTTGCCACAAAGTGACACGATGCTGAAAATGACCATATCACTATAAATAAACTTCTTCTGAATATCATATTAAAGGACAACTGTTGTAAAATTTTCACTCCTTGTTTTTTAATAGGTGTATTAGTTTCCTTTTCTTTTTATCTTTTAGAAAATGTCACTTTTTTAATCTTACTGAGCAGCCATCTTAGGTCAGACTCTAAGTGTAATCTAACCTGCCTGTTTCTGCAACTGCTCTATGTGCTTTGTCTAAAACTGCAGCAGCAAGCAAGTTAGGTTGAGCAGCAGTTGGTCAGATAACAGTAACATGGCCGCTCAGTGTTTATAACTTGTATTCACATCCAAATATAACAATTCTGTAAATAAAGCTGTTCTATCCATGCATATTTAGTCAAGAGACTGAGTGGCTGTGTTTACAATTCTTATCTCATCAGCCCTTTCCAATTCACATTTATGTTTCCAAAATTTGAAACAATTAGAAGTTGTTTTACTGATAAATCAGACAGAAAGTCTTGCTCTAGTGAGCTCTTGCTATCTGGTAACTACCCACACCCATATGTGCTGCTAGGGGATATAATCAGACAGCATACGCATTTATAGATAATTCTAGGGTCAGAGTCAGGAGGTGAATCTAGTGGCAAAATGTCAAGTACATACACCGATTCTAATGGGGTTTATTACCAAATAAAGAGTTTTGGTTTATTAGTCAACAGATGACATGATGTTAGTGAGTGAGCAAAAAAAAAATCTTAAATTTAGTTGTTAAAATTTTTGCTTTTTCCATGATGTCTACTTTTGTCAAAATTTGTCAAAAAGTGTAGTCAAGTCATCACAATTCACTGTTTAGCGAATAAACCCTTGTAGCTAATTACCCATTCTAAAATATTTACCAGTAATGGATGTGGTGCACAATAAACAGTTATTATTATTTTATTATTTATATAGCGCCAGCAACTTCCATAGCGTTGTACAATGGGTGGACTAACAGACACGTAATTGTAAGCAGACAAATGTACGCACAGTAACAGAGGGATTGAGAGCCCTGCTCAATGAGCTTACATGCTAGAGGGAGTGGGGTATAGTGACACAAAGGGTATAAGTAAGGGTAATGAAATAGGTTGCTCTAAACCTTTAAATATATAATAGCACTATTTATTTTTTTCTTTAAATAACATCTAAGCCAGGTTTACTGATTTGTTTTTTAATATCACTGCATTGACCAAGTACAATTCGCTACATGATCCGTGGGATAAATAAAAATTCTACTTTTTCATTGAAAGGGAACTTTATTGGTAGAGAGTAAAATTACCATCAGTATGGTTTTTTTTTTTGGTTTGTTTTTTTTTTAACAAAAAAAAAACAATATTAATTTGTTATTTAGAACATCTTCTAATATAAACCTATTACTTCCTTGAAGAGTTTACTGTGCATGGGTATGTAGTAGAATGTCTATATTTAATAGGTTCTTGATTCATCTTCATTCTGTTACTAATAAAGTAGCAACAATGAAAAACATACAGTAAAACATAAGCAGTGAATCAGGAAAAGGAGACCTGATGCATGCTGGGAAATATGTTCTAAACACATGAGACAGTATTTTTAAAATATGTGAACACAACATAAAGGCAGCTTTGGAGTGTTCTCTTTGGTGTCAAATGCAGGAAACATAGCAAGTGTAACATTGTAATTAACTGTTTTTAATAAAGTATTTAACTTTTAATGCTAATGTAACTTGCACACAATTTTATTTTTAATGAAACTGTATCATGGATATTTTTAAAATCACATTTCTTTATTTATATATTTTACTTATTTATTATTTTCAGTGAATGTGAATCAGTTAAAACATGACATTTACTAATGAGCAACGCAAAGGAAGCACATAACGTGTTTCAGCTTGTTCCCCTTAAAACTCTTTAAAGTGTTTTAGCTTCTCAAATAAAGGGCCAGCCCTACATTTGCAAGAATTCACAATGTAAACAAAACTATATCCAAAATACAAACTGGACACAGTTACATTAACAAATAAACAATATAATACTTTATTGTTTCAGTATTTTAGATCACAGCATTGTTGTAGTCTTGTGATAGAGCTGAATTAAATTCGAAAATTCAAGTTGTTTGAAGCAGCCATTTTTCTTTCTGGCTGTTTGCTAATTATCAACCGCACTATTTTGGGAAGTCACAAATTAAAAATATTCTTTTACATTATAACAGCACTTGCAATTAGTGTTTAAACAGTAACCGTGAAATGGGACCCTTATTTCATCTTTTACATAGTCTTGCATAACATTTTATCACAAAATGCACTTAAAGTTCTGATCTTAAAATGAAAAATCAACATGTTTCCTGTACCATTCTGTTTTTATTTTACTTTATTTTTTGTGTGTTGTATTTTTTTGTGGGGGGAGGGGGGGTTATGCGTATTGGAATATTATGGAAACTATTATGGAACTATGAACATAGAAAATACAACATTTTAATTAACCCCCTATTAATTCCTTATTGTGATGACACTAAAACAAATAATTTTTTTGGCACGCTTAAGAATTAACATTCCTTACACCAAGACATTAGAGGTGTTTGGTATACATTAGCACACAATATTAACAGCTTTTAGCTAAAGACAAAGAAGGATTGACTACAATTGGGGGCAAAATAAACATCTGTTTGCCTTGAGTTCAGAAGCGTTCAAGCCTGTAGATATTTCTTGTTTTTTTATTATGTTTCCTTTCTTTCAATAATTGTGTTTTTTATTGTACATTTGGAGACTACACATGTGCGTTACGTAACACAGAAGCATTTGAAAGTCTTTTGCTGTAATTTCTATGGAAACAACATGTTTTAGCAAACGTGTATGCAGATCTTTTTGAATTTCCCATGGGCTCTCGTTTTGAATCTCTGTAACAATAGACTGCTGGGTGGTTGGGGGAGGGAGCATGACACATTGTTCAGAGAGTTAAGTATTACGCTACCAGTCGAAGACAACAATTAATTTGTAACTGACATACCTTATTGCACTTCTGTAAAATGTTATATACTCCCATTTACAATTAAAC